TCTTGGCTCTCGATTCCCAGAAGTCGGAGAGTGTAGAATTCCTCGAACTAGTGAGAACGTATTGAACTACTTAATTCAACACACACACACACACACGGGTAAATTCGTAGTTTCATAAAACCTAAATAATGCCATCATTAGACTGTCACAACTTCCACACTTAACTTGCTGCTCAAAAATAGTTTCCCATAGGCTCGCATATTATAACTTAAAAGGTCATGTAAGCGCAAGCCAATCTGGCCCATGTAACCGAAGAGAATACCCAAATTGACGTCAAATTTACAATGAGAGACTACCGCTGTGGGTGGACAAGGTCTCGTGTACATATAGCATTGTGGGCAGTCTTGACATTCATATATCCAATTCTTCTCTAAATGGCGGACTATGAGCTTTACGACATATAATCAAGGTTTTATTGTCGAAATTTATATCTTGACTTGACCACTTGCTTCTTCGATCTTTTCTAGGTCTTGAAACTCTCGGTAATATTCCTATGTTTAAAATTCCAAATGGGTATTTCAGGCCTCTTTGGTAGCTGTTACATTAAGGGTCGTACGATGACTTAACCCCTTGAGTATGATGACTGAACCCCCTGAGTATGATGACTGAATCCCTTGAGTACGATGACTTAACTCCTCTGGTATAATGATATTGTTCTCGGGGGTTAAGTCATCGTACTCAAGGGGTTAAGTCATCGTACTCAGGGAGTTCAGTTATCATACTCAAGGGATTAAATCATCGTACAGTGGTTAAGTCATTGTACTGAAATCCTCCTGTTTCTGATCTGACTGGTATCTTTTTTGATCGACGGGAAATTTTTTTCTTCAAATGAGACTCAACAAAGCCAATGGTCAAGGTCAAGGTCACCCCAACACCTTTACAAGAGATGATAACCACCCTACACTATTAACAACGCATCGATGGTCATGAAGCATCAACATGTTATGCTCACAGCTAAGAAATACGTACAGTATGCATATCACTAAGCATTATGAAACAACACCCAGGACTGGATCGCAGATACAATAAAAAACATAAGGAAGACAATTGGAGAATGAAAAGCCACGTGCAAGAACTCATAAGTATGTCAGTGATGGAATTATTACAGCCATCAGACGCCCCATACACACTATATATATATAATGAGTTGTAAACATTTTCGGAGTGAGAATTGTGAACTATTGGAACAACCTGCCAGAGAGTGTTGTGACGGCACCGAGTGTGAGCTGTTTCAAGACCAGACTTGGATTATGCAGTTTAGTTCTGGTCACCGTGCTACAAAATGGATATAGAATCTCTCTAAAGAATTCAGAGGAGAATGACAAGACTAATCCCGGGCATTAGGAACCTTGAGTACAGAGACAGGTTAAAGCATCTTAATTTGCACTCCCTCGAGAGACGTAGAATGAGGGGCGATATGATAGAGGTGTGTATATGTAAATCAGGGCTAAACAAAGGTGGCATTACAAATGCACTCAACTATCCAACCAGGAGCGAACTCGTAACAATGGTTTTAAATTAGACATATTTACATTTAGGCGCGAGAGAGGTAAACAATGGTTTGGAAATAGAGTAGTGAACGAGTGGAACAAGTTACCAAATATCATTATTAACTCGAACACGCTGGATAGCTTCAAACATACTGTAGGTTGGATGGATATATGAGCAATAGGGGTTGGGTGTAAAGGGGACTGCCCAGTATGGGCCAATAGGTCCGCTGCAGTTTCCTCCATTCTTATGTTCTTATGAAATCGCAGGAGTACAATACTGCATTAAAGCAAAAGGATTGGAATTTTCTGACGAAAATGGGGGTCCTTACCACCAGGACCCCCCTTTGATCCGCCCGTGTACATGCTTTATACGTGAAGAAATTAATTATTCACTTCATGTACTCCTCCAAAAAATCTGCCGAGTCGGTGAATGTTCTTGTCTGCGCAGTTTGCTTAAAACTTACTCACTTGGTCCGAGTGCACTCTCACGTCCACAAAAAATATAAAATTACACCGTGACACTTCACCAAAGTTGCTTTCATTGGTACCAGATATGAAAATAAGTAGTTTCTGTTTAATATGGCGGGTCCGTCCCCCAGTTAGGAAGTTAGGTAAGGTTAGGCAGTTTTCTTTTATTGGTTAGGTTAGGTTCTATTAGGTTCTTCTACATGTCGCCTCTTTTAAAATCTAATATACTATAGCGCTATCCCAATGTATGTGTGTGTGTCTGTTTGTCTGTTCTAGGCAGCCGAAACGGCACAATCGTTTTTCATCAAACTTGGTGGAAAAATCGCAAAAAATTCGTAGAGTGGAACAAACCTGGTCCCATGTCGAAGGTTTCTTTAGGAAGGCATTAGTTAACAATTAAATTTACGATAAAAAATGATGCAAGTATACGGACTTGGCGCACCCTCATTCGCTGTAGCTGTCGGCCCACGATTGCAGTTATCGTATCGCTCCCTCCTCCTCCCCCACTTTTTTCTTAGCCTACTTTTTTTTTAATGTTGTTTGGATTAGTAAAGGAAGGAAGATGAGTAAATAAAAGAATAAAGAAGGGAAACAGAAAATAGTTCGAGATAACAGGTGGGGGGGGGGAGCTGAGTTTCATCATGCATCTGGATGTGCAGTTACCAGACGACCTTACAGCGACAGTGTATACTTATTCCTGTGGCTCATGGAAAAGGAGAAGAGATAAAAAGATAATAACAGGAATGCATGGAGAAGATGACTACAATAGACACAGGGTGAATATAGACAGCGAAACAGACAGGAGGTTGACAAAAATAGACAGATTCATACATGCACAAATAGACAATATGGCAACTAACATGACAGACAGACAGCTGACTGACTGGTTCACATTAGTACAGACGGGCTTACATTCAAACACCACGCAGACGAACAGACAGTTGGGATGGCAATAGACAGGACGGATAGACTTGAGACAGATTAGAAGGCATTTATAAACAAGAATAACACCAAATTGACCACAGCTGCGTCAGTGAGGGTAGGAGGTCTTACATCCACCAGCGTAAATAATAAGACGCATTGAAAACTAACACCCTCGCACGGAAAGAACATCCATGGTTGGTCAGTCATGTGAGATGGGCCTAAAACTGACTAATGTAGATGATGACTATGATGACTTAACACAGGTGATGACTTAAGCAGATGGTGACTAATCTAACCAGAATCAAGGTCACTTCTCTTCATAATATAATTTATCTCGGAATGATCATCGGTGATTCATAATAATTTGTTTTTGTTTTATGATTTTAACCTCTCCTTATGGAGAATATTTCTTTAACTAATTATTCTAACCTTTATTCTATTCCTTCCTATAGTATACTAGATACTTACAGTACCTAATAACCACGACTATGATTATAACAACCACGACCATGATTATAACAACCACGACCATGATTATAACAACAACGACCATGATTATAACAACCTCGGTAAACTGTACCACCGGACTCGCCACCGGGCACGAAGTGCCCACGATCACTTGTACTTACTATAATGATAAGAACATCTGTTGAAAAAACTGAACAATGTCTCGTGGTATTAGCCTCCAGTATTACCACTGATTGCTTTAGGTCATGACTGCGCACTCTGTTGGTAAGGGCGTTTAGGGAGCCTTTGGACCCTCTACAAATTGATGACCGCCGACTGCTGTGGTGCTACAGATTTCCCAATATGTCAAGGAAGCCACACATCCTTAATATAGCTAAAGCTGCCTCCCGAAAGCCGGGAATGCCGTACAGATGCCGTAGCTACTTCACTCCTGAGCAGTTGCTTCAAGTTTATAAGGGATTCATTCGTCCTAACTTGGAGTACTGCTCTCATATCTGGGGTGGCTCTTCTTCTGTCCAACTGTTAGATAGGGTGGAATCAAAGGCATTTCGTCTTATTAACTCTCCTCCTTTAGTTGATAATCTTTCTTCCCTTTCTCTTCACCACAATATTACTTCACTCTCTCTCTTTTACAGGTACTTTAACGGGTAATGTTTGGTGGATTTGGCATCCTGTGTACTGCCGGCAAGGCCGTGGGCTCGTAACACACGTCTTGCCCACGGTGCAGTGCATGTCCAAGGGGTGGCCTGGGGTGGCCACGGCCCCCCTGAAATCTGATTGGCCACCCTAGTGGCCTCCCACTCAGAATTGGTGAAATGTGTACGGTGATAGGTCGGTGAACAAATTAATTAACTCAACTTCGAGCGCAGCGCAATGATTATGAGGTCCACACTGTTCAGTAAATAAGAAGTACAAGAAATTTCACATACTTAAAACGGTGACTGAAGTACTTCTCTTGACGGCAATACAAAATATTGCACAAAGGGGCCACTATGAGACAGATGACAACTTAAACAAGGAAACTTTTTAACAATTTTGGAAATGATTGCAAAGCACGACTCGGTGGGAGGGAAAAAATGAAGGCCAGTGGCAATGCTAAATATACCAGCAATATATTACAGAGTGAAATTCTATAATGTTTGGCAAATATGGTGCGTGACACTACAGTATAAGTTAGGAAGTAAAGGAAAGTAAAGTGTTCTCTGTTATTGTTGACGAAACAAAAGACCTAAAGAAAAAATAACAGCTGTAGTTAGGTACTATTATAATGGAGCGGTGCATGAAAGCTTCCTAGAATTCAAACAAGCCATCCTCTAAGATGCTGAAGCGCTCACAGAAAAGATCATCCTCTGCCTGGTCAAGGTTATGATGGGGCAGCAGTAATGAGTGGGAAACACTTTGGAGTGACAACCGGAATAAAAGGTTATGATGGGGCAGCAGTAATGAGTGGGAAACACTTTGGAGTGACAGTCAGAATAAAGGCAGAAGCTAAACATGCTTTCTATGTACACTGTAATACACACTGCCTTAACCTGGTGCTAGTTGACACTGTGAAGTTAGTTCCTGAGGCTGAATGTTTTTGTTTTCACTGCTTCAGAAGCTCTACGTGTACATGTCAGGGTACTATGTGCACCAGAAGTGGATGGATGTTCAGAGGAAAATGTACGGAGGTGAGCCCAAAAACTTTGCGACACGAGCTGGGCCTGTAGGTACTTGGCCTGTACACCAGGTGGGCCTGTAGGTACTTGGCCTGTACACCAGGTGGGCCTGTAGGTACTTGGCCTGTACACCAGGTGGGCCAGTAGGTACTTGGCCTGTACACCAGATGGGCCTGTAGGTACTTGGCCTGTACACCAGGTGGGTCAGGTACTTGGCCTGTACACCAGATGGGCCTGTAGATACTTGGCCTGTACACCAGGTGGGCCTGTAGGTACTTGGCCTGTACACCAGGTGGGCCTGTAGGTACTTGGCCTGTACACCAGGTGGGCCAGTAGGTACTTGGCCTGTACACCAGATGGGCCTGTAGGTACTTGGCCTGTACACCAGGTGGGCCTGTAGTACTTGGCCTGTACACCAGGTGGGCCTGTAGGTACTTGGCCTGTACACCAGGTGGGCCTGTAGGGTGGCCTGTGACACCAGGTGGGCCTGTAGGCACTGGCCTGTACACCAGGTGGGCCTGTAGGGTACTGGCCTACACCAGGGGCCTGTAGGCACTTGGCCTGTATACCAGGTGGGCCTGTAGGCACTTGGCCTGTACACCAGGTGGGCCTGTAGGCATTGGCCTGTACACCAGGTGGGCCTGTAGGTACTTTGGCCTGTACACCAGATGGGCCTGTAGGTGCCCTGGCCTGTACACCAGGTGGGCCTGTAACTTGGCCTGTACACCAGGTGGGCCTGTAGGGTACTTGGCCTGTACACCAGGTGGGCCTGTAGGCACTTGGCCTGTACACCAGGTGGGCCTGTAGGGCACTTGGCCTGTACACCAGGTGGGCCTGTAGGCATTGGCCTGTACACCAGGTGGGCCTGTGGGTGCTGTGTGTACACCAGATGGGCCTGTGGGTGCTCGGCCTGTACACCAGGTGGGCCTGTGGGTACTTGGCCTGTACACCAGGTGGGCTGTAGGTACTTGGCCTGTACACCAGGTGGGCCTGTAGGCACTTGGCCTGTACACCAGATGGGCCTGTAGGTACTTGGCCTGTACACCAGATGGGCCTGTAGGTACTTGGCCTGTACCAGATGGGCCTGGTGCTTGGCCTGTACACCAGGTGGGCCTGTGGGTACTTGGCCTGGCACCAGGTGGGCCTGTGGGTACTTGGCCTGTACACCAGGTGGGCCTGTAGGTGCCTTGGCCTGTACACCAGGTGGGCCTGTGGTACTTGGCCTGTACACGGTGTGGGCCTGTGGGTGTGGCCTGTACACCAGGTGGGCCTGTGGTGCTGGCCTGTACACCAGGTGGGCCTGTAGGTACTTGGCCTGTACCAGGTGGGCCTGTAGGTACTGGCCTGTACACCAGGTGGGCCTGTAGGCACTTGGCCTGTACACCAGGTGGGCCTGTAGGCACTTGGCCTGTACACCAGGTGGGCCTGTAGGTACTTGGCCTGTACACCAGGTGGGCCTGTAGGTACTTGGCCTGTACACCAGATGGGCCTGTGGGTACTGGCCTGTACACCAGATGGGCCTGTAGGCACTTGGCTGTACACCAGGTGGGCCTGTAGGTACTTGGGCCTGTACACCAGGTGGGCCTGTGGGTGTAGCCCTGTACACCAGGTGGGCCTGTAGGTGTGGCCTGTACACCAGATGGGCCTGTGGGTACTTGGCCTGAGCCACCAGGTGGGCCTGTGGGTACTTGGCCTGTACACCAGGATGGGCCTGGGTGCTGGCCTGTACACCAGATGGGCCTGTGGGTGTGGCCTGTACACCAGGTGGGCCTGTAGGTACTTGGCCTGTACACCAGATGGGCCTGTGGGTGTGGCCTGTACACCAGATGGGCCTGTAGGTACTGGCCTGTACACCAGGTGGGCCTGTAGGTGTGGCCTGTACACCAGGTGGGCCTGTAGGCACTTGGCCTGTGCACACCAGGTGGGCCTGTGGGTGCCTTGGCCTGTACACCAGGTGGGCCTGTAGGTACTTGGCCTGTACACCAGGTGGGCCTGTGTATTGCTTGGCCTGTACACCAGGTGGGCCTGTAGGTACTTGGCCTGTACACCAGGTGGGCCTGTAGGTGCTGGCCTGTACACCAGGTGGGCCTGTACTTGGCCTGTACACCAGATGGGCCTGTAGGTGCCCAGCCTGTACACCAGGTGGGCCTGTAGGTACTGGCCTGTACACCAGGTGGGCCTGTAGGTACTTGGCCTGTACAGGTGGGCCTGTGGGTGCTGGCCTGTACACCAGGTGGGCCTGTGGTGCCAGCCTGTGTACACCAGGTGGGCCTGTAGGCACTTGGCCTGTACACCAGGTGGGCCTGTGGGTGCTGGCCTGTACACCAGGTGGGCCTGTAGGTATGGCCTGTACACACCAGGTGGGCCTGTGGGTACTTGGCCTGTACACCAGGTGGGCCTGTAGGCACTTGCCTGTACCAGGTGGGCCTGTGGGTGCTTGGCCTGTACACCAGGTGGGCCTGTGGGTGCTGGCCTGTACACCAGGTGGGCCTGTAGGTGTGGCCTGTACACCAGGTGGGCCTGTAGGCACTTGGCCTGTACACCAGGTGGGCCTGTAGGCATGGCCTGTACACCAGATGGGCCTGTAGGTGCCAGCCTGTACACCAGGTGGGCCTGTGGTGCTAGCCTGTTGTACACCAGGTGGGCCTGTAGGTACTTGGCCTGTACACCAGGTGGGCCTGTAGGTACTTGGCCTGTACACCAGGTGGGCCTGTAGGTAGTTTGGCTTGCAGGAATCTAGTGGATAGATTGCCTGCTATATTACGTGTTCTGCATGAGACAGACCTTGAAAACAGTGGAGACAGATCTGTAGAAGGTCGAGGGTTTCCTTACACAAATAGTCCTCTCATTTATTGGTCTTCTTGCAACTTGTAGAAAACTCCTTGGGGCTACTAAGTTGCTATCGGACATGCTACAATCACCTTCGCTTGACCTAGCTAGGGAGGTGGATTTGGTTGAAGCACTTCAGGATACAATTCAGAAGTACAGGAACGAGTTATTTGTTGAGGAGCTATGGAAAGGCATTGTAGACACTGCTAATCAGTGCAATGTTGCTGTTGAAAATGCTGAGAAGAGGTCACAAAAATCAACTGCAGACTGGGTGGGTCTATTGTAACATCCACAATAAGTGTAACGTTGCTGACAAGGAGAGCTTCAGCAGGAGGATATTCTACCCCATCAAGGACACCATTGTTTGTGAGTTGTAGAGACGCTTCTCTGAACCAAATTGTGACATCATGAAAGGAATACATGCCCTGAACCCAAAGAGCAAGTGGAGGAGGAAGCTGTATTTCTCTTAGCAGAGATCTATGAGTGTGATGTTGAAGATCTCAGCCATAAGCTGCACCAAACAAAGAGGATTTGGGAAAGGAAAACTCAAAGTGGAATGCAGAAGCTGTCCAGTGTATTATAGGTAACGGTGTTCCTAGAGCCCTACCAAGAGGTCTTTAATGAACTGTTCCGCCTGTGCCTTGGCCCTCCCAGTAAGCAGCGCTGCCTGTGAGCGCAGCTTCTCAGCTGTTAAGCTCATAAAGAGCCGTTTGCTCACAACTATGGCGGACAGTAACCCGGGTGTTCTCACCATTGAGGCTAGAAGAGCTAAGTCATTAGACATGGACGAGTTTATTAAAATAATCGCTATCCAGCACGAGAACAGGTGTATTCAGCTGTTCTAAAGGTGTACATTATGTAGCTCTGCAATATAAGGGATGTGGCTGTGAACTTTATGTGGATTTTATGTTCTTTTTTGAGCTCATGTATTACAGTGTGATTTTGAACAATGTTCATAATATTACTGAAATTTAATTTATATTTCGTTTATAATATATTCAATAAAGAGAGTGAAGTGGATTATCACCTTACCGTGTATCGTCACTACTCTAAAGTTACTGTGGCGTGACCTCATTTGGACATTACTGGTTGAGAACAGCCTTGTTTGAATAACTGAAATACATTCTTTATTCCCTGAAAATATTATGGGTGGAAAACTGAACAGCAGAGTCATCTTGAGTTATCTTTATTCTTCAACAGGTTTAAGTTGGTACTGTTTTACTGTACAGTTACAGCAGACACTTAGTGTTGTGTGCTCCTACAGCAGAGTCATCTTGAGTTATCTTTATTCTTCAACAGGTTTAAGTTGGTACTGTTTTACTGTACAGTTATAGCAGACACTTAGTGTTGTGTGCCCTATAGAGTCATCTTGAGTTATCTTTATTCTTCAACAGGTTTAAGTTGGTACTGTTTACTGTACAGTTACAGCAGACACTTAGTGTTGTGTGCTCCTACAGCAGAGTCATCTTGAGTTATCTTTATTCTTCAACAGGTTTGTTGGTACTGTTTTACTGTACAGTTATAGCAGACACTTAGTGTTGTGTGCCCTACAACAGAGTCATCTTGAGTTATCTTTATTCTTCAACAGGTTTAAGTTGGTACTGTTTTACTGTACAGTTACTACAGACACTTTAGTGTTGTGTGCTCCTACAGCAGAGTCATCTTGAGTTATCTTTATTCTTCAACAGGTTTAGTTGGTACTGGTTTACTGTACAGTTGTAGTAAGACACTTAGTGTTGTGTGCTCCTACAGCAGAGTCATCTTGAGTTATCTTTATTCTTCAACAGGTTTAAGTTGGTACTGTTTACTGTACAGTTACAGCAGACACTTAGTGTTGTGTGCTCCTCAGCAGAGTCATCTTGAGTTATCTTTATTCTTCAACAGGTTTAAGTTGGTACTGTTTTACTGTACAGTTACAGCAGACACTTAGTGTTGTGTGCCCTACAGCAGAGTCATCTTGAGTTATCTTTATTCTTCAACAGGTTTAAGTTGGTACTGTTTTACTGTACAGTTACAGCAGACACTTAGTGTTGTGTGCTCCTACAGCAGAGTCATCTTGAGTTATCTTTATTCTTCAACAGGTTTAAGTTGGTACTGTTTTACTGTACAGTTATAGCAGACACTTAGTGTTGTGTGCTCCTACAGCAGAGTCATCTTGAGTTATCTTTATTCTTCAACAGGTTTAAGTTGGTACTGTTTTACTGTACAGTTACAGCAGACACTTAGTGTTGTGTGCTCCTACAGCAGAGTCATCTTGAGTTATCTTTATTCTTCAACAGGTTTAAGTTGGTACTGTTTTACTGTACAGTTATAACAGACACTTAGTGTTGTGTGCTCCTACAGCAGAGTCATCTTGAGTTCAAACATGGAAATGATAATGTCATACAGTAAGTTTTGAAATTGATGAATGAATTATTTCAATAGAAAGATGTAAAAACCTAAGTTGAAGCAGTAATTAATTGAACCGCTGTATCTAAGCATTTCTATCACCTGGCGTTCACTTATATATCCTGCCCCCCCTCCCCCCCCACCTTGGTCACCTCATCCAAAATGTCCTGGACACGTCACTGCCTTTCTTCTGTGTTTCCATGCTCATGTAATGTCTCACTTTAAAAAGTTGGTTGTCTGGCATCTTCGCGGTGTAGATTAATATAACCTTTACCTTTTCTACTTTTAATTTAAAATTTACTCTCATTTCCCCCAGGCCCTGTTGGGTCAGTGACCTGTACCTGGTGGGCTATTCCCCGTAAAAAAAAAAAAACCAAGTAGGGATATACTTGGCGAGATATTGGTAGAGCGGCAAGGTTGTTTCATGTATTCCCAGGACTCCCACCCCATACGTCTGAAGTTTTTTTTTGCAAGGGGGAGTTTCCAAAGTGCAGTTGATGATTTAACTAGCTTAAGATATTCTAGTCAAGGATGCAAACTGACATTTGCTCCTAAATAATAGTTTTGTATTAATGATAATAATATTGTTACTATTATTATGTCGAGGCATAATTTGGTATGATAATGTTTGTGAACTTGGTGTTTTGATTATTTTCTGTCCCAAGCAGCAGTTATTTTGATAAGTCTAGGGAGACTCGTGTATGTATTGATGTATTACTTATGTAAGAATATTCTAGAATGCATGGCATCTTTTTTATGATTTACTTCTTATTGTAAGCCTCGATCAGAGCAGAACGTTCTTGAACCACCCAGGCGTCTCTGGGTTGTGCTAGAGTGCTCTGGGATATATACTGTACTGTGTACAGTATAAGTGGAAGCGTGCGAAGTCCAAAGAAAATGACTCAAAAAACAAACTGCTTCGGCCGAAATAGCCTAAAGGCAAAGTGGCCAGTTCAAGCTGACTCAGTTAGTCAACTGTTTTTGCTCATTGTGTAAAGAACGAGCCTAGTAGGACAACTGAAGATAATTGTTGTGCAAGTATTGTGGAATTGTTGTGATCTAAATAAAGTGAAAAGACTAAGGAGTTGTACACTGATAGTTTGCTGACTATATGTTCAATGTCCAGCAGTGAAGACATTACCCTGTGAACAGTGTTGTGAAGAATAAGTAACCATTAAAGAGGACTACAGTGCACACTGATACTGATCGTCGGAAAATTACCAGTGGTAATTCGACAACTCTTGTAAGATATCTACTGCTTCTGTACATATGACCCTGACCGCTGATAACTGGTGGTGGAAGCTGGGTAAGTGGTGAAAGGAGGAGGGTCGTAATACTGGTGTCAGGAGTAGGAATAGCCTAGCAGTGAGATATCAGTCAAGATTGAAGGTCCAGACCAGACCAGAAACCAGGCCTAGCAAGGGGGGATTTCCATGGTTGACCTGATGCAATTCTTACAATCGCAACGAGAACAGAACAAAATCACTGCAGAAATAATGAGAACAGAAACAACTACTCCAAGAACAATGAGAAGAGCAGAAATAATGAAATATGCTTCTGCAAGTGAAAATTTAAGAACAACTGCAGGAAGAGAGAAGAACAAAAGCAGCAACTACAGGAAGAGATCGAAATTCATAAACGGGATGAAGCTCTGCCAGTGATGTATTTCATGAGGTGCAAGTTGAAGTGGGGAAATAGAAACGGTAAAAACAATAAGTGAGTGGTGAGATCACAGAGGTACGAGAGGCGCTAACAGTGGTGAACAGTGAGCAACAGAAACTCAATAGCAAGATGGAAGTTCTTTAGAATTGTCTAACAGCAGGATATCAGCCAAGATCCAGTGACTCCTATAATTGTGACGGTGTGCGTGAAACATCGTTTATGCACGCTCCGAGGGGAATGAATAGTGTTGAAAATTCTGGAAAATATGATGAGCAGTAGAAAAAGGAAGTGTTGAGCTAAATTACAGAGCTCCTCAGTTCAGACCCCGAGCTACGTCAAGTGAAGTGGGGAACTATCCAAGAAAGCCAGTGAAGACCAAACCACAGAAATTCGACGGCAAGGTCTCCTGGGAAGCATACCAGGCACAGTTTGAGTTACTGGCTGAACAAAATGGGTGGGACGACAAGCAGTGTGCAGTGCAATTAACCACGAGTCTTAAGGGCGCAGCTATGGAGGTTTTCTGCCAGTTGACAAGACAAGTTGAATGTCACTGGTAAAGGTACTGGAACAAAGTTATGGAACCAAGCACTAAAATGAGGTTTACAGGGCCAGATTATGTAACCCGAAACCGAGGTGAAACACTGCAACAGCTTGCTCAAGACCAGGAAATTAGGGCTCATAGGGCGTACCCTGGAGCATCACCTGATCTGTTAGTCGTGTTGTTGATGGACCAGTTTGTGGACGCATTAGACAGCACGCAGCTCAAGATTCAGGTGAAGCGGCGGTCCCAACATGTAACTCTACAGGAATGTTTAGCTAGAGCCCTGGAGTTTGAATCTTCTGTGAGATCAAGTTTACCAAGCTTCAGGGCGGAGTCTAGCTCGGGGTTTAAAGCACGAAAGGGCCAAGTTCAAGAGACGGAGAGATTTAAAGGAACCTGCTGGTATCGCAAAATAAGATTAAGCATAAACATGAGGACTGTTACAAGCGGAAACGAGAGCGAGAGAAGGGCAATACCGGGAAGAACATGG